AAACATGAGAGAGCCATTCACCCTTTACACCTTAACATCAGTATGCCTATTCTTTATACTTTTCTCTATACATCTCCTCAGGTGCTTTAAAGGAGAATTTGTTTAACAATCAAGAGCTTACTAAGTTGGCAATAATCTCTTTTATTCTTGTGACCTTTATGTGTGACTCAGGGGGAATATTGAAAGTAGAAATAAGATGCTATTCACTATCTACCTTTCTTGTGAAAGACATTGTTGCAATATTACTGAGGACAACACTTTGGACCTCCCTAGAAGAGAAAAAAAAAACATGACTGTAAAATTAACTATTTCAAATGTGTGAAAAATCAAATGAATTTTAGTGGCTTAGTAGTTTAGAAACACTCTTTTAAGTCCCTCTTCAGCTTTAACTCTTCAATTGTTTCAAGATAGATTTAATGTGCAACAAAATTCATCGTCACAAACTTTCAAATCTTCAACCAGAAATGTTTTAATCACTAAAAGTCCCATTTTTCCAGACTAGAAGGACAACTTTTGTCAACAATTTTAAATGTATTTTTTTCTCTTTGTGATATCTTGTGATGCAATAAAGGTATATCTTCAAAGTTAGTGTGTCTTAACACATGACACATTACTCTAGCTTACTATGTTGGTCAATGGTTGTAAATGCATTCCTACCTGTGACTTCTAAGGAGTCTGACTAAGGAACGTGCCACAATTCCAACTTCATTTGTGGGTGCTAAATGATGATACACTCTTGCTACTGCCATCACCACCTGTTAATGATAAACAGTAGATCAAATAAGTATCCACAATCATATACTGGCTAGTTTTGCCACAAGGAATGCTGTTCATCATTTTAACTTGTTATTACAAACTGTAAGTTTCATTATTTCATTATTCAGATGGCAACTTACTGCTGCATTCCTGCTCTGAAGAAGTGGCTTACATGTCCTCAACAGAAGGCGATGATCAGGATCCATCATGTAAGTCTGCTTCTTAGGTTCCTTTCTGGATTCATCATCATCAGAATCATCATCAGAATCATCAGATTGGGGATAGAAGGCTTCCTCTGATGAGGGCTAAACAAAAGTTTATTTAATCAATTCCTTACTTGTAATAAAATTTATCTGACCTATAGTTCTTGCAATCCAGGCAGACAACCTCACCTCTTTGTTTGGGTCAATAAATTGTGATCGGGCATATCTTGTGAGCATATGGATGACAGCAACTTGACCCCACTCATCAATGTCTATCAACAAGTTACACAGTTTGCGGTAGTTTTTGTGAATCAAATCTATTCTCTCTGGGCAAACATCCTCAAAAGCCATAACAGCACTGCCTGCAACAAGCTATAAACAATGTGATAACATTATTATAACCAGAATTGAAATGCAGCCTGTCATATATGAACAAATGTAAGACACCAGGCCAGCTGGAAAAGAAAACATGGCAATGATCACTCTGGGTGATTGTTCAATCCTTACCGTCGTCTTGTCTTTCAATAGTTTCTCTATAACTTCAATAAGACAGTCTTTTTGTTCAGGATCCAAACTGGAAAAGTATAATTTTTTCTGGTTAATCTTTTGGTTTCTATTGATGATTCAACCAAATTAAAAGAGAGGAAGAAATGCAATTTCATTTCTTCATTTCATTGCTTAACAAGATGAAATAAATTAAATAAATCATATGTAAGAAGTAAAATCCTTGCAGATGACCTGCAATTAGAGAAACTGTAGATAAACTTTAACAAGTTTTGTCCCCATTCCTCTCAGGTACAGCTACATATTAAGAGCAAATCTTTGGCAGGTCTTTTGTTCCTATAGAGGAAACTTGTCATGGAAAAAGCCTGAATTTGCTTCTTCTGAAGGTCAAAATATGACTTATTTCATTACTGAGGGTGAATTTTGTCACAGAACAAAGAACATCCTAAAATTTTCCTCTGTCCCAACAAAGTAGCTTTGTAGCTCAGAAAAAAGTTGTGCTCAACTCACAAGGGATGCTGGACAATGGAGAAGACATCAAAATTTGAAATGGACCATTAAAAAAGGGGAGGAGGTGGGACTTAAACCTTGGGTAGTTTTTTTTCCTCCAGTATCTTTGGTCATAATTTTTCTTCTTAATGTGGGAGAATAAGAATGTGTGACTGTGTTACAACAAAACATAAAGAATGGCATACCTGTAAAGTTTGGGAATGGCATGAGCAGCAGTTTTCCGAACATAAGGTGACATATCTGCAACTCCCTGGAAAGAGTTATACATTTCTTAGTCTCCTAATATTCCTGATAAGTATAATTCAGACCCCAATAGTAATATCATGGCTATTGTGGATTTCTCACTATGGGATCAGCCTTTCCAAAAGCACAGCTAATTGAACATAAAGTGAAACAAATAGTTGTCCAACAGTAGCTTAGGACAGTTATTACAATCTTTGCATTCACTTACTTCTTTTATTGCTAGCATCATGATTGGTGCAATAACAGGAACTCTGATACTTGACAAAACCCGTAAAGCACTTCCACGGATAAGTTGGTTTGGATCCTGAGCATTAAGAGGCAAAGATGACAAAATTATTGTGATATAAAAACAGGTGAAAGTGACAGGATCTGCCTTTCTTCAGTTGATTACTAGTACCTCACATTACGGGACTGAGAGTGACTTCTCTGAAAAAAAGCTAGAGTTAAAAATACTTAAAGCTAAAAATACCTAGAGTTAGCAGTTTTCTTGGTGATTATGGTCATACCTCCAAGACAAATCTGAGTATTGATTAGTATTACAGAGGTTACAGGGAGGTTTATAGCTATAGAGCAGTCTGGACAAGCACACTTTCTGGGTATTCTCATTCAGGTATAATCCAATATATCATCTACAGTAGTTGCTTATTCACATGGATCTGACCAACCTTCAGTCCTTTCTGAAATGTGCTTATAGAGAGGAGAGCTAAGTCTTGTTGTTCTTCAGCATATCTGACGAGGTACAAGTAAACCAGCTTTTTGACCTGCCAAAATAAAAAAAAATGTTGTGTCAGAGAGCATAACTTATGTCAGAATCCCTGTTACTGTCTAAATTCAAACAAGATATTGGGAGAAAAAATACCAGTTAATGCTGACATTTCAGCAATGCTCTATTAAATAACAAAAAACAAATCACTTACTTCAACATTTTTAGAGACAACATTCTTAACCACTGCAGCAAAAAGGTCTGATACATCTCTCCCATCAGCCATCATCTGCGATCAAAAAAAGTTGTAACTGACTTATAGGTTGCTAAGTAACTCCTCAGAGACCTAATGGGTGAAAGAACTTGTCACAAATCCCTAGCATGAAGTGTCTGAAAGTAATGTTCTTATCCCAGATAGCATGCCAATCTATCTTAAATGACTTTGACAATTATCAACTTGAATGTACTTAATGTGAAATAACTTCCACACTATAGACAGAGAAATGAAATTTTGAGTATAAGGTCTCTCTCATAGAAAGCTACTGCAGATATCTGCGGCTAACAATGGAACTTATAGTTGATAATCAACCAACTATATTTTATATTTACCAGTAATATACCTTTTACATTAGTTTCTTTAGAACTAGTCACAAATCATCTTGAATGACTCAAGCACATTACTAGCTTTACTTGATTATTCAACAACAACAACCTAAGGTGAAGGTACTACCATTGCAATATTTTATCAGTTTATCAGGGTACTAACCTAAGTGGGATGTTTGGAAAACACAAGAGAGACTGGTAAATTTGTTTACCTTTCCTTAAGGATTTACAAATTTATTGAATTTGTAGGTCATTACTTCAGTCTAAGAACTTCTCCATCCACAAAAAAAAGGGTGTTTCATGACTGCCACCATAATTATATTATTTCACATATTTCAACTGAATGCTTTGAGAGTAATTGTATAAAGAGGTGCTTATTTCAATTTTAATGATCCCTACTGTTCCCCCTTTTTTCTTCACTACTTTTAATTTAACCCTTGGAAGTTAGCTGTGAGTGATGTTTTTGTATCATCTACAAAAATCCCTTGGGACTTTGGCTGTAATGGATCATAAACCAAAAAAAAAGGTGGATAATAACTATTACAAAACAACTATGGGTGTATTGTTACAATGAATGATAAGTGTTTGACTAATTAGAGTACATTTAGTGTCTAAGAGGATAGTGTTAAAGCATGGCAGCTATAATGAACAAAACTGCAGAAAATCTTCATTTTTTTAAAGTTGGTTGAGATGTATTGAGTGTGGTTCTGAATTTTTATCTTCTATTTAAGGGAAAAAAATAAGAGTTTATCAGTTTTTTTGACTAATACGAATACAATACTAATGTCAGTAAATTCTTTGGCTCAGGTGTCTACAAATCTATAAAGAAATGAGCTGAGGTTAAATACATAAACGTCCTGCTTTTGACCTATTCTAGTTAGCATCACAAGACTATAAAACAGAAAATCCAAGTTCAACTACCTGAAAACTAGAGCACCAAAAGGTAGAAATCGTAATAACGTTTGTCGTGCTCCTAGATTTACACATACTGATCCAGTGTTCGAATTCCGCTATCAAGCCTGTCAAACCTTGATAAAGATGAAGACTTACCCCAACAATCCTTTTCATCGCGTCCAGTTTAAGACTATCCTTTGTACTGTCTAACATATTTTTCAAATCATCGTGTCTGTAATAAAAGTTGAGATTTTGATGACCTCTGGAAATCGAAAGCTCGTGAAAGTAAGGGACATCGATCAGGTTGGTGCAAATCATACAGAAAGGACGAAAGTTACCTTTGAAAATCACTAGAAAAAAATCCGCCAGCTCTTGTATCAGGGACATCTGAGTCCCCTTCCGGTTTTTCAGCATTGTAAGACATATTCAAAGCACTAAAAACAATGAATCAAATCTCCGACCAAGCTAATCTAACATGGCTGCCGTCGTGGAAGTTTTCCTTGTGACTCAGCCCCAGTCTACCGTGCTAATAATGTCAACAGAGGAGAAAAACCGCGAGGGACGGTGATCTACTACTAGTAACCCGCGCCATTTTCAAGAACACTTGTCGGAATAAATAATGGAGGAATTTCAAACGACTGACGGCAGAGGAAAACATAACCAGGTTAGATTTTCTTGGGTGCTCTTATGAAAGGAAATCGGGAGTGAGTTACTGGAATGATGGGCATGTGAGATTGCTCTGAGTTCTGGTCATATCGTTCCACTTCGAAGGATATATCTACAAAGATTGATACGAACTACTTTTCTAGGTTTTTACATGGCTGCAGCAAGTCTTTGGCCAAGATCATATTCCCCAGTTTGAGATAAACAGCTTCACTTTGAATGTACTGGAACGACTTGCGAAAAGAAATCTGAAACAGAATAAGCATGCTGAACTTGTCACAAAGGACCATACTCAGAAGACGGTGGAATATTCTGCTGAAGGTGCTATACGCTTAATCTTTATTGGACACATTTTTCTGCATACACATTATGATAAAGTCTTCCTATTCTTTCGGTTTACCTCTATTTTTTACTTGTAACTATAAAGGTAGGTCTATATGTCCAGGTATTTCTAGATATAAAAGCTTAAACATTCGAGTCTCATGTGGGTCTACGTAATTTTGGTGATTGGTTCAGAAAGATGACTTTTGAAAGTTCAAGAACTTTCAAAACAGTGCTTATACCCACCTAGCGTAAAATTTTCTTGCATCATACGAATTTCTATGCTTTAACTTTCCATGTTATCGTGAAAATGATTAATTCAGGACCACTGAAACGCATAAGGATGGATAATTTGTTTTGTCTGTAATCAGTTGAAAGACTCAGCAGGATAACAGAACAAGTGGGTTTACCAGTATCCTGCATGTCACAGTCAGGACGCATGAGTTTAAAAACCCTAGCATCTATGGCCTTGTTGCTTGGGACCAAAGACTGCTCCACTTCAAGGTAAGCAGATTTGGTGAATTATTGAATGCAAAACAGTTAAGACAGTTGTTTTCCCTAAAAAATATTGAAGGAGTGGTATCCTTATTGTTATTTTGGTGCTGAGACAAATCCATTGCACTTTCTGAAGTTGACTGAAGAGAAGTGAGAGGATGGTGGTTTCTCATCCTAGTTGTCACTAAAAGAAAGCGTATATTGCCCATGGCTTGCATGCAAAAAAAGAAAACAAAATCCGAATGGTATTTCAAAATAGGTTATTCATTAGTTAATTTATGAACTGTTTTATAAAGTCAGAGAAAAAAATGGGATTTCTGATGTTTGAGTGGCTGTAGTGTAAGCTGTTGGTACCAGACCCCAAGCAAACCTCTCCTGGACTTGTCTCAAATATACCTACAGGCAGAGAAATGGGTATCCTGTGGTACTAGTAATAATGAGGGCCTGTTCACAAGCTAAGTTCTAGATGATCATCTGGGGTCAAGTATGCAATTTTCATGCTTACTTGTAAAAAGCAATAAATGTCACTGGACATCATCTGTCTACAGAGAGAAAAATCTCTCTCTAATAATTTTCACAGTGGTTTTTCATTCATTGTTAGTCTTCTGTTGGGCATTGCTGAACAAAACCAGGCCCTGTCTGCTGCAGTGGATGCTAACACAGAGGAGAAACGACTTCTGTCCAGATTAGTGGTGAAGACAAAGAAAGCACAAGCTGATGCTTCTGATCTACAGAGGTATCAACTGATAAACTCCGATTACCATATTATGCACCAATTATTACATAACCCTTTAATTCCACCAATTATTATGTAACCCTTGTACTCCAAAGATCAAAATGTCAATTCACTGCACTGTACTCCATTCACTGCTTAATTATATTTTTTTGAGAATTTGGTGTCAAATCAATCAGCATCTCCAAATTTATGGTTTCCTTTCTTCATCTCACCTTTTTGCTCCAGAATTTATGTAATTGTAATATCCATATAACACCACCACCACCAACAACAACAACAACAACAACAACCAAACAGCATGGTTATAATCTATTCTGGAAATATTGCAAGTCTTAGTAGCTTGCTGGCCTTTCACTGTTGGAGCTTATCATGTTTTCTTAGCATGACATAACTAAAAGTATTGGTAGTCCAGGGTGGAGATAGGTGTTGTGAAGGTAAAATGTCAAACTAAAAAAACATGGTGCAATGACCCAGCCAGAGCTTTGCCATCTTATCTCCCATATTGGAAAAAAGAGGGACTGTTAGGGTAAAGTCTGTAATCAAGCAAAGATATAGTTTACTACAAGAGTTGCATTGTTCCAGGTCTCTTGATGGTCTCCAGGATCAAATAGCATTACAGACTCCTCAGCTGAAGAAAAATGCACAAGAAACTGACTTTGTTAAACTCAAGTGTAAAGAATATGAGAAAAGTAACAGGGAACTTGAGGTACAAGTAAAGCTCAGAACTATATATTTCTGTAATTCTCAATAATAATAAAAACGTCAATTTATTAATTGAATAATAAGATGTTTGTCACCAGGATCACCTTGCTCAAAACTGACCAGTCTGATTATTGAAAATGAGCCATGATTCTATTATAAGTGTCTTTGTCATCTTTGCTTGCATTGTCCTTAAGCAGGGATTGGCACAACTGAATTAAAATAGAATCATTTACCATTTCCAATTATTCTCAAATTGTTCTATTGGTGAGTGATGCATTTAACTTTAACAACACAGTACTGTGTAATGATTTCATAATTTTTGGTTCACAGCATACCTAAATGTTACTGGTCGATGAACTAGGTTATTTCTTGCCCAGAGATTCTTTAGTTGTAATTGGACATGATATTATATTCCTGGATTATGTTGACTGCACTTCAATGAATCCACCAACCACCTAACTGGTTAAAATAACCTTTCATAAAAAGAGCTTTCCATCAAATGATCCAAAGCTGCAGATTTCTCAAAATGGAGAGATAAGTAAATAAGAATGTCTGTATTAAAGATGTTTCACTTATATTATTACCACAGTTATTTGCATGTAAAAATCAGAATTACAACTCCTTCTTTCTTTAAAACAATTTGTTTTTCTTGGGAATTGGAAATTTTTTAATAAGATTGTGATGAGACTTCAGGTTGTACAGTTAAGCCTTGTTTGAATATCTTGGCATACAGGTGGCCCCTTCAAATGCAAAAAAGTATCAGATGCAACAGAGCATACAAACCAGTTATGTTGTTGTTTGATTATTTAAGCCTGCTAGGTATAATTCAATTTATACACAATGTATTAAATCTTTTTTTTTTTTATATTTTGTAGGGATATCAAAGCAAAGCACAGTTAGATTCCTCAATCTACCACATTTCCCTTGTTAAGAAGGCAGAGGTATCAACTTAAGCCATCCTATTCACTGTACTTGTGTACTCTACCTGATCAGAGGTCACTCCTTTATACTGATCACTTTGGAAATTTATTGTGAAAGGTTCTGTTAAAAGGTGGAATATCAGTCAGTCCAAATTTTCATACCTATATATTTTTTGATACTGATAATAATGAATATAGTATCCTTAGTGAAAAATTTAATGGTAAATATAGAATGTGTTAATAAAACCCACTTGCCATCTGAATGAAACTATTCAGCAAAGGTAACAAATAGAAGGGGGAAATTATTTTGGTTTCCCTAAATTTTGACATACTTAATATGCAACACTAATACAACTGTAAACATCCTTACTCCTTTTGTAATAATTATATCAATTTTTTTTAAATTTAAAACACTGGTCAAATAAGTTAAATTTGGTGATAAATCCTTTGTAAAAAAAAAAGAAACATTATGGATAACATGACTCAAAAATAACTCTGAAAACCTATCATGATGATGACCCAGTAAAGACTGTCATGTAACTTGCAACATCATTCTTTCAATTTTCAGGAAGTGAGACTAATTGAAGAAAAGATGAAACCAATGAAGAGGAAGTTAGAGGGTTACCATAGCCTTCCACCTGTAAGTGGAATCTTGTTCAACCCTATAAAGCAAACTTTCATGAATTACCTTTGGCTTCTCGATGAGACTTTGGTACTTTTGAATTGTTATTTCAAACTGCACTGTGCATCATTCTTTGATTTGAAGATTTTAATAATAAACAGAAGATAAAATGGCTAGTGTAAGAGCCAAATTCTACCTTATCGTGCTGGAAACACAAAAAATACCTCAGAGCAAAACTGTACAATTGATTTAAGCCATCCTGCACAACCATGCAATATATTCTATATTTTAATGACTACCAAGTTATCTTTCACTATTATGTATTAGCTCATGTAAATGGTTGACTTGTAATTTTAGGAAACCAATTTTTGTGTCATTATTTTTTCAAGGATATTTCTCAAGCTAAGGTGAAAGTTGAAGAAGCAAAAATGCAATTGGTATGTTTTCCCCAATTAAACATTGAGTAGTACACAGTTGCACATTGAAGTTTGTTTCAAACATGTCTCTCCATCACTATATTCAAATTATTGAAGCTCCAGTCATTCATACCATGTTTTCTATTATTTTTCTCTTCTCATGAAACAAGCAGTCCATGTTTCATGGTTTTGGTCACTAGCCAGGATAAGTTGGTCTAGCACAAAACATTGAAATTTGTTTAGAAAGATCTTAAAAATCAAACAGATTTTTTTTCTTGAGGTTACATGATGTGATTTTAAATAAATTTTTATATTATTCTCATGAGAATTTTACTAGCAAGACTTGATTTTGGCTCATTGCTTGATCCAAGGTGTGTTACCTGACACAGTTTTCTTAGCGATTGTGATAATTGTTCTCATGTAAAAGGCTTTTAGTTTGGCACAATGAATTTTTATTGCTCTGATGGTCATGTTTTGACATTCTTAGGAAATGTTAGAGAAACAACTATCCGTCAGCATAGACACACTTCATTTATGATCACTCTTCATTGTTATCAAATGCAAGACTACTCTGGTCCATTCAACACACAAATGAAAAGGCAAAGGACAAGGATTTGTTGGAACAAAAGCAACTGTGCATATGGCTTTATAGTTAGTGTCTGGCTTGTGCTGTCCAATGTTCCCTGGAGCTTGCCAAGAACAATTTGGCCCAGTGTTGATGCTAAGAAAGCAACCTTTGCAAGATGGTGCCTGAAGGCACAAAAGCATCATTTCAAATTGGCATGAAGCAAGAAACCAGTTGATATAGTTGAACTCATTTATGGTTTGAAGTTATGCTTGAAACACAGGCAAAGTGCAAGACTATATATTTCATAAGTTTAATGGATTCTTTCAGAATAAATATTTATTATTACACACAAATTAGGCAAAGAGATACATCTTCAATGGACTAAAAATAGCTATGTTTTGGAATGAAATGATGCCTGTTACAACAACATGACATCAACAATTGAAATAACATTTTTGATCTTATGCATGTTACAACACTTTGTTGAAATGTCTTCAGGTGAAGTAGTAAACTTTAATTAGGAAACTGTAAAAAGAAAAAAAGCATTCAGATTTTAAAGATAATGTAAACAGTAGTAATAATTTGAAGTGATCCTTATCCCAGACATTTTATGCAGAAAAAGTCAAGTTCCCTATGTTCAAATCTAGTTCAGTTGCTTTGGCTTACAAAATAAACATTCATAGAGACAAAACTGTTCAACAGTTCTGTTCTTGTTAAATTGAACTTTGTGTCATGTTATACATTTTAGTTTACTTCCTACCAGCTTCCTACACATCATCTAGCTGAAACAAATATTTTGGAAAGCTTTACAATAAACTTGAAAATGTGATTTAATGTGAAATGAAGTTGATAATAACATCAATTTACCAAGAACAAAATCCTGTGTGATGTGGGCCAAAATGCCAGATGGAGGAAATTTTATGTTTTTAGCAAATTTTTACTGTGTGCTTCAATAAACCCAAAAAACTCCTTGTCATGCTTAAATAAAGAGCATTGAAAATAACAGATTGAAAAATAAAAAAAACCTAAATTTAATTTGGTTATGGCAAAGACAATCCACTGGATAAAAATTTAACTGTTGGATTGCGTCACTGCTCTTTCAACAATTGGGCCCTAACCAACAACATTGGAAAGATTCATGTCCCAGCCATAAAGGCCCATTTAACTTCAAAGTGACTTCATAGTTTGAGAAGCATGCTGTTGGGGTCCTACATTATTCCCATAGATTGTGATAGGATTAAAATAAAAGGGTGTCAATAATCCCTGAATTGAGCATGTCCATCGGTTTGCACTCTAGGTGACTGGGTTTCTCTTTATATGTGTATAATTTAAAATTTGACTGTTAATCTTGACTTTAAAATACAAATGATTTTGGTTTTTGCTTTGTGCCTGTTGTTTTTTTCTCTTTAGCTGACTTTGACTTCTCATGTGTTTTTCTTGCTTCGCTTGTCTGCCACTTTTTTAAACATTGTTTCTCATGGATAGAAATTGAAGCTGAACCATATTCACGGCCACAAAGATAACATACAACCAGAGCTGGTTTACTTGGTTTAAAGCTTTCCTGATCTTGTGCCTGATCACCTGTGTCAGAATCAGAATCTAGTGTAGCATGCTCTGGGGATAAGAGATCCCCATAACTTCCACTCCTTTTGGGCAATGGAGTCTTTTTATTGTTATTTTCTTCAGCATGATCAATTTTTATTGTAACAGGCAAGTGAATAGAGTTCCTTTTCTTAGACTGTAACTCTTTCTTCAACTTTTCAGTGGCTTCTACCTTCTTCTGTGCCTCCCATTTCTTCAAACATTGTTTTTCATGGATTGGTAAGGAGTGGGAAGTAAATTGTTTACCACAAATGTAGCAAAGAACCATCTTTGATACTTGAATGTTGCCTCTGGATGGTCTCCTACTGGTAGTGGCAATGAGATTCTCACAAGAAGCAGAACGTTGTTTCTCCAGTTTCTGCTGTGGTATTGACATTAAGGAAGTAACTTGTTGATCATCAAGGATAGTAATGTCATGACTTGTAAGAGAAGAAACTGAATTTGCCTTAGTGAGCCCATTTTGACGACCACAAGGGCTGCGAGAACGCTTCGGATTGGCTAAACGCCATTTCTTCAGACACTGAGGCTCGTGAATTTTCAAGGACTTAGATCCATATTCACGTCCACAGATGTAACAAACCATTAAATTGGGGTTACTTGAGGAAAAGAATCTTGCTTTTGACAAAGGTGTGCCCTTCACACTGTCAGTATCCTGTGAGTCTGATGATAATGATTCTGGTGAGCCTTCCCTCCTGGGTAAATTAGATGTCAGATGCTTTCCATTAAGAGTAACTGTCCCTGGTCTTGAATGTGAAAAGTCTTTCTTTTGCCCATTGAGTTCAGACACAGTGCCTATCGCCTTACTACTCTTGTCAATGTCGTCGTCGTCTGATGAATTCTGTTCTGTGGAAGAGTGTGACTGAACGTCTAATTTCCCAAGAGGATCCTGCTCAGAAGAGGAATCTGAAGAATCTCTCGGAGAAGATTCGGGCTTTAACAGTGGTGTTGTAGTGGCTAATGATTTTGACCGCTCTTGAAGTAATTTTTGCCCCTGTTTCCTAATTGTAACAGTACTGAGTCGGGTTTGCGATGCTCTCCTTGTTGAGGAACCTCTTATGTCGTCTAAACTCAAACTTTGTTGTCTGTCCATAGTCGGCACGTTAGGTAAGACTCGTCGCCTACGAGACTCGTGTGAAGATTTTCTCATCTGCTGTTGCTTGGCTTCCTCTTTTTCTTTCTGTTTAGTCATTTCCCATCTTTTAGCACACTGTCGTTCGTGGACATTAATGGAGTGTGAACTGAATTCCTTCCCACAAATGTAGCACATCACTGTTTGTGGCTTCGGCATACTCGACTTGACTTCTCCAGTCAATTAATAGCTTCTTTCTCCTGAAAATAACTTTTAAAATGTAAAAAGGTTACCCTTATACCAATATGCAGTCCAGACCGTGAAGTGTTACATTGAACTCGGTGACATCACTCATATAAATATAATTGAGCCTCTCAAATTTCCTGTCGCCGTGTTTGTCTCTCGAAACAATTACAATATGACCGTCATATAGAGAGGAGTGCAGAATAAACACTTCCCCAAGTTCGTTGCATGGTCTATATGCTTGATAATTTTTGTAATTGAGCCTGTAAATAAAGAAAACGGCGAAAATCTAATAATCACATTAGAAGAAGAATTAAAAGAGCATTTCTCACACCCTTAAAAATTTTGTAAGTAACCTTTAGTTTCGTAATCAGATATTTCTCGACGAGGGTTTACAACAAATATTGAGTCACGAGAGACAAACAATGTTGCTGAAAGAAAATCCTTGCATGTCCGCTCATATCATAAACACAAAACACAACGTTCGCAGGCAAGGAATTTTAATTTAATAGAAAATGATGATTCAAAACGGCACTTGAACCTCGTCGCTTCTTCAATATAGCGATAAATTTACGTCAATCGAGCCACAAAAAATACCTGTCTTCAGTGCACTTCGAATGTACTCGTTCATAGGACTTTTCCAAAGCCTGTTAGGCTTCAAATGCACGAATTTAAGCTGCAGCTTTCTGTGGCCACGGGTGATTTACAAGGAGGCAGCTGGATTTTCTCACCTGACTTGAACAGAAGTTCTGACGGAGATGGAAACATATGCGTCACCATAAAATAAGGAGGACGTTCAAATTTTCCCGTTCTTGTATTCGACTAGCGTCACAGTACAATCGCTTGAACACGGAAAATGAAAAAGCTTGGTTTCCTAGGAACAAAAATTCTTTCCCGGCAGGTGTGGTACTACGGCAACGAAGCTAATAATTTTCTTCATTCAGTTCATAAAGACCGCTCGACTGTAAACAAAATATATACCGGAAGTGAGGTTAGACGACAAGAATCATTAGGTTCCAAGCCTCAGCTTCCGGTGCGTTCAAAATGGCGAATGCATCAACCACGACAGCGATCACAAAGACTTGTAAATTTTTCCAGAGGAAAAAAGAGTGCAAGTTTGGAAATGAGTGCCAATTCCTACATCCTGAAAAACCATTAAACTTACCAGGAGTTAATTTAACCGAGGTTAAAAAGCTTCATGATGTTCCAAAGCTTCTGGATCCATCCAATCAGGAGAAAAACTCAGGTTTGCAATCCTGTAGGTTCTTTAAGAGTAAGAGAGGATGCGCGTTTGGAAATAAATGCCGCTTTTTACATTTGGATTTAAAGGTATCCACTGAATCCGAGAAAATTGAGAAGGTTTCTGAACCCGATATAACTGATCAGGGTGAAGAGAAGGTTACAGATCAGCATAAAGAGTCCTCAGCACAAAGAGTTGTTTGTAAATTCTTCCCAAAAGAGAAGGGATGCTTAAGAGGCAACATGTGCCCCTTTGCACATGTGACTACTTCTATTGACAAGACCAATAGGAAACCTCTAGCTAGAAAAGTCTCTAGAAAGGCAGGCAATCTGTCAAGTAACAAAAAACCTCATTCGGGAAAGGACACACTTAAACCTTTCATGGCTGTCAAACAGATCACTGAACAGCCAGTAGAGTCATATATTGCGCGGCCAGATAATCAAAATGAAGTTATCAAGAATAAGGTCAAAGCTCAAATCCCATTGTTGCCCAATGAAGCTTTCATTGCTGAAGACAAGGGGATGGGTGTTTGTGAACAACCACATGATGAATGTAAGAGACTGAGATCAATTGAGATACAGCAACTTAAAAGACGATTCAAAGACAATTACTCTGAAATCACAGAGAATAGTTGTTACAAGATCAAAGTTAAACCAACAGATCCAGACTGGGTGAGTAAAATAAATCCTGTCTTTCACTTTGAAAATAGAGGTACTGTGCATCAGAAAAAAAAACAATTTGTGTAAAAAAGATGGGTAAAAGTGAAGAACAGTTACTAAAAGATGGGTTAAACAAGCCTATTTTACCATAATAGATAGGTACAAATGGTGCGATTGACAGGTTTCTTTTTACTGTTTTCAACTGGAAAAGTTTTGACTCTGTTATAAGTCAATTTTTGGTCTATTAAACACTGTCAGCCGACTGTCAGTAATGTGTCGCTAATGTGTCAGTAACCTGTCGGCTGTCTGCTGACAGTTGACCGACAGGTTACCGAGAGCCAAAAATGGGAACCATTGTTCACTATTACTGAAAGATGTGCACTCATGGGAGGTCAAAGTGTAAGGATTTATATGCTGATATGATGTGCTGGTGTCTGCACACATAAATGTTTAGATAAATGTCAGTATCCAAGCAACTGGGCTCTTACCCCTCCCCTAAGCTGACATTAACCCTAATAACAACTTGTTATCAGTTGACTGTTGTTTGGTTAAGGGAGGGCTAAGTGTGCAGTTGCTCATATACTAACAATGATTTGAGTTTTCTTCCTAATGTTAGTTGTTCATTAGAATAGGGTTTTCTTTAATTCTGATTGTTGATTTACAACAGGAATCAAATATCTTAATAAAATCAGATACTTTACTAGAAAAAAATACTAAAACAGTCAGTTTTGTATTTACAGATTCACTCATTTTTCCTAGGAAGAAAAAACGGTTTTTAGAACATCAGTGGCTAGGTACATAAAGTATCACAAGCCACATGCAACAAAATTTGTGTGCAATAATTATTTTATCCACAAAGGGTTCATTT